AGCGGTCCACCTGTCCTTTCGCAGCCGTTAAGGCCGTTATTCTTCATTCCGCTCTTTAAGGATCCCAAGGCGTCAGTTTCGTGCCAGCCATTATCTCGAATCGCGGCCGGCTCTGGTCGTCCATTACTATCCCGGCCCATTAACTGATCATGAGGGTGCAACGGCTGTATACCAGCCGTTCTCTTGCCATGTGGGTGGGGGCGAGTGGCCAGGGTCTCAGCATACCCACCTGGTTATTTCTGCAACCATGAGATCTGAATGCAAAGGATTATGGTCACCTTATAGCATTAATGAAAACAAGAGATCTCTGACGCGGATGCCACACGTTTCCAACCTTTCGTTGTACGTGAACACAGTCTACGACAGGAAACGGGAAAAAGAAGACGTGGACCATCAGGGCTCCTCGTCGCGATAACTCCGCAAAAGAAATGGTCGAACCGGAAGAGTTAAGGGTGGAGAATTATGGAGACAGACCTGCGGGAACCTGTGAGATACCAGCAGATCCGGATCAGTGCAGAGCGCGGAATCAGAGGAACTCCCCATCTCTGAAACCTGAGCAACCGCCAGGGTATAAGAGATGGCCGCAACAAGGGAATTAGCACTCTGCTTGGACGAATACGCGCGAGGCAAAGTCTCAATAGCCCGTGCGAATTAGAGGTAACTCTGGAGAGAATCCGGCAGCGCAAAATCCCCGCCCCATTTTATGGGCTCAAACAGCCCAAAATCCCCACGAACCACTTCCCAATATCCTGCAATTGGTGGGCAGAGTGTGGATTGAGAGATGCGTTAAGTAATCGCATTTATCCAAGTGTAATTCCATAGAGATAATATTTTTATCAAGTACATCAGGTTCTGAATACTTTGAGCCCCACCCTCACAAGGAAAGCCCAAATTCAGAGACTCGTGAAATAAACTCTTTCCCAGATCTCCGCGCTGAAATAAAATCTTATTGAATATCTCCACGAAGGGTCGTCGTCTGAGCAGGTGGCCCTCTCCATTGCCTTCAAAGACCGACCAGCTGCTTGATGGTTACGGATGAGGTGTACCGACGCCCACGATACGCCTCGAGGGCGATCAGCTTGTAACCAACCTGGGTTGGGTGCTACCGGTCCCAGAAGAAATATTTGCCCCTGTTGGAACAGTAGGTCGAATTGGACCTGCATTCTGATTCGGCGTTCAATCTCCCGGAGCCGCAGCAAGCAGAGACGATGTCCGTAAACCCTTCGAAGAGGCCGAGAAGACGACGTCAGAGCAATCCGTAGAGGAGAGTCGGGTGGAAGAGGAAGATCAGGGGGGATGCGCATACCATATTTTAGCGGTTGGGACGAGACAAGGGAGATGAAGTCGTAGGTGTTGATGAAGGAGTAAGAGAAGCCTTTCAAGGTGGAGGCGATGTCACGCAGGACGATCTGTGGCCTTGTTGAACTGCTGAGCGAGATCGTTTAAGTCTTCTACACATTTGCCGCCGGGGACGCTCACGCGTAGAATGGGGATACAGCCGATGAGGGAGGAACCAAACACCGCGAATTTCCTCGCTCCGAGATCGTATAGCGTCTGTCACAGTCTTGTTCCATTAAATATAGGGACTATCCTATACATAATTCGGGGTAGATAGGCGGACAGATGAGGGGAGAGAGAGAGAGAGAGAGAGTACCTCCAACTGGTTTCTATACTGGCCGGTCAACTGCCCGATGAACAGCTGCTGTTGGGTCTCATTTTTCAGTCCGAAGTTCACGTAGAAACCGAACAGATCATTGGCTCCCGTGAATAAAAAGAATAAGGACCTGGAAAGGAAACGGTCGGCTGTGCCGCCGCAAATTCGGGTCCTCAGCCGACGAGTGATTCCTTTGAAGTACTTAATCTGCTGGTTCAGGGAAATGGAGAAGTTCTGGCCCTGGTCGATCCACCCGGTTGAAGGAACAGAAGTTTCCGAGATAAATGAAACTGCAGTTGTATACTTCAGACTGTACAACAAATTGCAAGGTGATTTCCATTTGACGGTTAGAAACTTACGGTGGCGTCAAAGATACCCGACCCCCCGGAGGCAAAGTTCACGCCGCGGTACGCCTGCGCGTCGTTGGAGATGGAGAGGTACGCCGGGGGGCTCTTGTTAAACTTCAGCTTCTTTGCTGCACAAACGAAGCGAACCCCAATTCTAAGTTCTCCTGCTGCTCCACAGGTCTCTACGGAGGCACGTCGAAGATAACGAAGAGGGAGGGAGGCCTACCCACGAAGTCCACCCCGTTGTAGCCACTGCTGAACCTCCCCGTGGGCCTGCTGCGCGGAACGTCAATCCCGTAGGGAGGGAAGTTTGCCTTCGCCTGGTTCCCCGGCAAGAAGTTATTGTTCCCCACATCCGTCAAGGAGTCCCCGAACGCGTAGATCGCCGGGACGGCGGTGGACGCCGCTGCCATCCGCGTGAACACGGCAGCGGAGAAGGCTGCGGCGAGGAGGAGCAAACCCATCTTTCTCTCCATTTTCAGCCTTCTAATGGTTAGACGACTGAGCCTTCCGCTTCCTTCAATACTACGGACAACTCGCTTCAGGGCACGTGGCCCAGTATTCAGCTCATATGGCGGCTGTGCGGAAGAAGAAGACTAACCGCATTTAATGCGGAGAGAGAAGACGGGGTCCGAGAGAACAGGTCACTGGAGGGAAAGGAGGAAATGGTTTACCGAGGTGCTCAATAGGCACGTTTCCCGAAGTGACTAAAAATTGAGGTGCCTGTGAAGAGAGTTTGAGAGTGGATCTCAAAAAGAGATATCTATTGGGTTGGTGAGTGATTGGTGAGTTCATTTGAGGGCCAACATCAGAGATTATATCTCTAAGTTTTTGGAGAGTTATTCTGTACTTCATTCACATCTAGTGGAATTTTCATTCGTCACCCATACACATAAGAGGCCAACCTCTGAAACCACGTAAAATCCTTGTCTATTTTGGTCGTGAGTTGTTTGTTTCTTGTTTCCTTACTTCATAGCTTCCGCAAGTCCATATTAGATATTTTACTCTAACAGATATGCCCTCCCCTCGCGTCTTGTCCGGGTGATAGTTTTACTGCCTTGAGGAGCCGTTCTTTGTTCGGCATGAACCGTAGTGTGAACCAAGATGGAACTTCCGACCTGCGAGCTGTCTAATGCAAGTTAACCACGCCGATGGTGGAATCTGCTGGAACACCATGTTTACATCGAACTTTGGTTTAAAACATACAATTCGCTTACGACGAGAATGAAATTCCCCAAGAACCAGACGTCTGACACGAACCTGCGGCCAAGCAAAAATCATTGTTGACTAGGAACCAGACGTTAAAAATTAAGAAATTTCAAAGGCGACAGAATAGAGAGAGGAAACTATTTCCAGAATTTAAAAGAAGCTTGCAAGAAATAAGCGCTATCTACATTGAAAAAAATCACAATTTGGAGATTTAAAAGCTACAATCACTAGATTGAATGTGAATGACATAAATGGCTTCAAAAGTCACTCTTGGGTTTTCGAGAATCGTTGATAGGGCACCTTCGTATATATTAAACGATTCGTAAAGTAATAGAAGTTGGGCATTTCACGATACCTCAGATTAGCCGCCTTCATTCTAACATCATAATTGAGACCAATTATGATGTAGATTTGTCTATCAAAATCCTTGCTTTTAGAGACATGTGCTTAGTCAGTTTCTACATTACTTCTAAACTTCGTTGCACAATGTGTGATAGTGTTTCACATGATGAGCTTTTGAGCGCCATGGTGAGAGAGAGAGAGAGAGAGAGAGTCTTTATGATGCGAGAAAATGCAGTGGAACTAAAAATTCGAATTCAGTGATCACAATACTTAGGGATATGAATAGAGAAACTCATTTTTTTAAGTTAATGGAAACAGATAACTTAGAAGTGATTACTCCCACAAACTGTGAATAAGTAGGATTTTTATTTTTCCTAAAATTGAGGTATTTAATTTTAATAAAGCGGATCAAAATTTCATCAGTGAGAGATAGATTATCCAAAACAAAAGCAATTCACTATCTATTATATGTTCTCACAAGGATCAAGAGCAAGGGTAATAGAATGAAGATCAAATTCAGTTTAAAGGATGAGAGAGTTGCAACACCTTGAGTGATACTCACTCTGCCCATGATCTGATGACACTTGAAAACTATAGATTACAGGGGTGATGGCAAACTAGATGAAGTATTGAATAGAAAAAGTAGAGAAAAAAAAGAAAGGAAAAGAAGAAGATTTGATCAATAGAGGTCAAATTGTTAGAGATAGAAAATGATCAAGATGAGAGTAGAAGGAATGACAATACTTGTCAATGTTTCCACCAAAATCAATCTTTTTTATTTCTAATTTTGTGGCCTCCGTTTTATAGGCTATCCTAAAGGAAGGATAGTTACAAAGGTGGTTATTAAAATGATTAGACAAAGAACATAGTGAGATGACGCCTCCCTATTCGTACCTAAGTAGGAGGGCTTGAAGAGATACTTCTAGTCTTGACCCATAACTATCCTCCTCTCCTTCTTGAGGCTGGGCTTGGGCTTTACATATAGGCTCTTAGACCTCGCTTTGACCTACTTCTTGCTCTATGTTGACCTTGCATTGGGTTGACTTCTACAATGAGTCTTCATCACAGCTTGGACTCCCATGATTTTCTAGGGTCGGTAATAAAAGGAACACCAAAGCCAAGGCGAGTGAGGCTCATCATCAAGTAGCCCATTTGGAGCCCATATTGGCAACAGTAGAGAGGGCCTCCCTGAATGGGTCCACAAATTGGTGACCCACGAGGGCTCAAGATTGACTCTCTCTCTCTCTCTCTCTCTCTCTCTCTGAGAGTCCAAAGCTGGCGTCCATCTCGGAGCCCGTAATCGAGACAGACCCTGCGACGATTAGATATTACTTACGTCGCGTAGAATATGAGTAACAAAAATCTGCTGCGTGCTCCCAACGTAGCCGACCCAATTTATACGAAGCTCTACATCCAGCTTCAGGCATAGCGTGCGAGGAAGTCACATTTTAGAGGGACGATGGGATGTGCCTGAGCGCCACATACCCATTGAGCACCGCCCGTCCTCGTTCCTTCACCTTCGTCAGATAGGTCACCCTGGATGACCAAGAGACCACACTAAGCATATACATATACATAAATATCACAGAGAGAAGAGAGAGAGAGAGAGAGAGAGAGAGAGAGAGAGAGAGAGAGGTCAATGGTGGTCGACCTTGAGCCGTCGAGCCACATCTCTGTGATGAGGGTCTCCCCGGGGTACACATGCAGGAGGAAGCGCCCAAAGACAGCTTTCACTGAGGAGGGTTCCCCGTTGCAGAAGCTCTTGATGACGGCCCTCACAGCGAAACCGAGAGAGCACAGGCCATGGAGTATTGGCCGATCAAATCTTCAAAAGTCAACACGAGATGAGATCAGGAGGCAGAGGCATCAGCACCACAAGGAACACTAAAGCACATCGTCTTCCAGGACAGAAGACTGTGATGGCATCAAGCTTAATAGACCCAAATTGTGAAGAACAATGCAAGCATTAATAGCTCCTTTGATCTTCATAAATGGCGAATCGTTAGTGTGGTCGGTGATGGATGCTAAAATGGGAAGAGGTTCACAATAGAGCATACCAGCATAGTTATCAACTACACTGCATCCCCCGACTTATGTTGATGCATGAATAGACCGAATAGGATTCAAAGTTTTGTTAGCGATTATATGCTTGCGAGCTGCTGTTTCATTCATCTCAAGATTGAATTTCGCTGAAGAATGTGCGAGCTTGCATATGTTTCAGGGAAATTTTATTAAACTTGCCCATGTAAAACTTTAGACTACAGCTAAACCGAATGTTCTAACAGTAAAAAAAGAGTGAAGAAACAAATGGGCAGGGAGGAAACTGATGAAGACATACAACCAAAACCTAATAAGGATCGCCGGAGATATGGTGGAACTAGGAACCGAAAATCAGAAACTGCTGCCATGCTCACCCGGCAATTTCTGCAACCATTGGATCTGAATGCAAAGGATTATGGTCACCTGATAGTCTATACAACAAGGCCTGCATCAATGAAAACAAGAGCCTTAAGTTATAGCCTCAAATGACAGAAAAGATCTGAATCTTATCAATTTCCTTTTATGTTCGAATTTAATAGCAAAGGAATAGTCAACTAGGAATGAAATCAACATCGCATGAGAAATATGAGAGGTAGATATATTTTTCAAGGGTCAGTCGTGCTAGGGAAATCTCCTACGCATAAAATCATGGTCTCAAGAAAGAATGTGGCATTGTAAACATGATAAATTCATGTGCACATTAAACATATTCGCTCAAGAAAGAATATTTTATGAAGGGAAAATGTTATGACCGTCATATCAATAAGTTTAGAAGCTGACCATTCAATACCAGCATTCAATCACATGTTCTGTGAACCCAACCCGTTATTTAGAAAAACAAAATGCTTTCATGCATTTGACATAAAAAAAAAGTATTCATTCAGAGTGCTTATATTATACAAAAGTCCCTGAAATGCCGAATTCATGAAAGATATTTTGCGAGTTTCTTCTAGTTCGGTGACATAATGCAGAGATACGCAATCTGGTCATACAAATAAAGCTATACACATACAGTAGATCAGCATTTAATACAATTTTAATTTTGCATATTTCCACGTCATTTTACACCAAACCAACGCATCTTCCCTTGTACCATTCCATGCTCTTGTTAGGTGATCGCACTCCCCCCTGGTGTCTCTGCCCCAAAGTGATTGGTTTATTTATCCTTCCTTTTCAAGAAAGTAACCATGAATTCCATTGCTGGCTAGGTGATAGCCAGGATACTAAATTATAAAAGAATAATAATAAATATCTTGTCAGATGGACATACCTAACAACAATTAATCTAACAGAAATACTTAATAGACAGGTTTACAGCATGTTTCGAATCATTGTGTACAAAATTTGTTGAATTACGAGCTAAATACAGAAAAAAAGTACCAACAGAATATGCAGAACTTGTTAATGGACAATAGATGCTCGCACAATACTCTTGTTTTCTTTGAAGGTGGTAAACAGTTGAATATTCAAGTGATAATGATCTGAGCAAAGGAAACACTAAATGTCAATTTAAAGTGGTTTTCACAGCGTGCCTGGTTCTGCTTGGTGTAGTCCTCGTATATAGCAGCAGGTTTAGATTTTGGAATTCTAACAGCAGAGACCTGGCTCTGTGGATAATTTGAATAAGAATATGGTTGTGATGATTTAGAGAACCCACCAGCACCTCGAAAATACAGAGTGCTCCTGAAAAAAGTTGGATCCTTGGTAAGACGGATAAGTATAATTGGATAAACAAAGAATTCCTTCACACATGATACCTGTTCATGCATAAAACTTCACCGGATTCCTGCTCATAACTGCTCGTTTCAAGTTCAATAATAGCTGCCTTCCCTATACAATGGGGGAAGATGTTCACGGAATCTTTACAAGACACTTTTTTTAGTTTAACTAAAAGGAATTTTTTTTTGTCCCAATCCTTTCCAACGCAATGAAAACCTTGACACCTATGGTTTCTATTCAGTATAGAAGACTCCTGCAAGTTTATTGAAAATATGAACCGAAGTGTCACACCAAATCAGAATGCTGCAGTACCCTTTTAACGATGGGGAACAGTTAACAGTAAAAGATCGAATTATTTTTAGTATCCAAGATCAGTGATAAGGACTAAGTGTAGTGAAGTACCTTTGTCGTGCAAACCTGCAATTGCTTGCTTATTTTGTATCTGCACCCAAGGATCATACTAATGTCAGATTCTATCTTCTTAATGAAATGAACCCAGCCAATAGTATCGGAACAAACAGACATCTTAATGGTTGTTATATCATACAATCTCCGTTAAAATAAAAATAAAAATCATCCACTATTAGATCTATTTAAAAGCACATGCACCGATGAAGTGACTACTTTTAATACCTCAGACCTGAAGATGCTACCCTTTTTCTGTTTGGTTGATTCAGAGATCTAACCATAGTTCTTCAATGATTTTATTTTCCCTCATACCAAAGACAAACCTCTAGTATTTTTTGTTTCCAGGCAACAATTAGAACAAGGTAATGTTCTTGAGAAAACGATCCAGAAAGAGTGAAAACGCCAACGTGACACAAAAAACAGTCAAGAACACATTGCCCAAAAGTAATGTATTTCTGAGTATTTCTGACAGAATACAAAACTTTTGCTCGATTTGTCGCATGCTATGTTGCCATAGAAACATTTTAAAATTAGGTTTTATGCGACATCAATAAATGTGAGGAATGTCCAATTTATAGGCACTCTATTCAAAGAAATATAGAATCAGCAGGCGCACTTAAAGGTTAGGAATGATAAAGAAATATTTATCGGAGGCAGAATACCGCAATAATTCGTGCTGCAATTTATTCTGAAGGAACGTGTTATCATGATGACTGCATAGTAATACAAACTATCATCAATTTGTTCAATATTCTAACCAATATAATTGTTGGAACAAAGCACAGTAGCATCTCAAGCACATCACCAACTCCCTAGGGGCCTCTTTTTTTTTTTTTTCGTGGGGGGGTGCGGGATCACTAATTTTCTAATCTAAGTGACCATGGTGGTGATTATCCACCATCTCATTGCCTTAGTGTACAAGGGAATGCACCAGGTGACGGCTTATAATAAAACACATGCAATAATTTTGGTAGTAATGTAAATATAAGCGTATTTTATAAAATAAATTAAATTAAATGATAAGAATCGGCATGTAAATATTAGTAAATCACTAATTAGATAAAAAATTAGAAATATTTTATTCAAATGTTGCTCCCATTTTCGTTTGATATGGACAGTCACAAACATTTGCATGTAATGACAATTGAGTATGAAAGTACTGATGCAGCCCTGTGACATTTGAATGCTGACGGAATTTCTGTTCAACTTCGTCAACGTGTGGCTTAGCTTGCACACCGCTGTCTAAGCTGTGCAGGCAACCCCCATGCAAGGTTGCCTGATGAGGCATATTGAATGCCTTGTACCTCGGGGATGACATTTGGTCTAGGTAATCCCTCAAGTAAACGACTCTCTATAATGTACAACAAAATGGAAATAACTAGAACTAGGAGGCTTTTTCCAGGGATATCAGTAAATACGAGACCTAATATCCGAGTTCAACATGATGAAAGTATTGATTGGAGCAAGGTTTTTGCTGAACCTGGAGGAAGAAAAGCATAAACAGATGCAAGTGAGTAGAGACATGATCAAACCACAATAGCGAATAAAAAAAGCCAAAAAATGCACCCTTGTCATCAGCAGGAGAATAATTTAAAACTAACAAATAAATAAAGAGCTGAAATTTTTGCCTAATTACTTACACGGCTATTTGTAGGCAGGGTCTTGTAGATCTCGATGTATTGTTGCCCATGCAACATCAGCGAAGGATCAAACCTGCAAGAGATGCAGGAGCACAGTTTTATTTAACTATGTAGTGACCAAAAATAGCCAGAGAAGTTTAATACTAATGGGCGTTACAAGATGTGAGTAACAAACTACAACAAAAGTCATAATGAAAATATAGACACCCTCTTGGTACTTAACTGCAAATCTGGCATGCCTTTAATACCTTCACTGTGGAAAGGAAAAATAGTGACAAATGTGGGCAAAACCTGAGAGTGAAGAATGTCAATATGATTCATACAATCAACCCAAAATGCATGTAGAGCATTTGAAAAGGCCTGCCGATGGGGTAAAACTTCTGATCCAAAGAAAACAAAGCTGTCGACGATCTGGGTATGCAAGCCATGATTCTGCGACATCTTATGCGGAGTATGAAGTGGTCGCATGACACCATGTAATAAATGTCACTTTATTCTGTTGATTAAGGTTGTCAAACTCCCTCTTGAGCTAATAAATATAATACTTGTAATATCATTGATAGTAAAACCTAAACAACAATTAGTTTAAAATTGTAAGTATATTCGAGCATGTCACCGCTGCATCTTCAGGAAAAACCTTTATTCATGTTATCTAAATTTTTACTGCACGATCGACAGAAAAAAAATAGTTTTTCAGCTGTTTTTCTCCAGTGAATTTCTATGATATCTCAAGCCGCTTCACCGTTAACTGCATGCAGCATGAAAACTCATCGACTGATTTCGGAATACCGAAAAATCAGACAATAATTCAAAAACAACACGTAACACATCTCTGTCCCCAGCCGCATAATTAAAACGAGAAGGTAATTATCCGTGACTGAAAGTTGGACCTTAACGTGATGCTGACCATCTCCATGATACACATACTTGAGCTCCTTGTCATCCACAGCATCCCCACCGCATGCACCGATCCCAAGGGCATACAGCACCACATCTCTTTAACCTCAATGGGCAACAGAAAAAAGCTCAGGCTCTTCAAAACTTATGACGATAAATCGTAAAGTGGCATCAAAATATTAAATAAAGGGATAGAGCTCTGGCGCGGATGCCACGCGTTTCCAACCTTTCGTTGTACGTGAACACAGTCTGAGACAGGAAACGAGAAAAAGAAGATGACGACCATCAGAGCTCCCCGCGATAACTCCGGAAAGAAATGGTTGAACCGGACGGGTTAAAGCTGGAGAATTATGGAGACAAACCTGCGGGAACCTGTGAGATACCAACAGATCCGGATCAGTGCAGAGCGCGGAATCGGAGGAACTCCCCATCTCTGAGACCTACCGAGCAACAAGTAGGGTATCAGAGATGGCAGCAACAAGGGAACAAGCAGCCTGCTCGGACGAGGCAAAATCTCAATTGCCCCGTGCAAATGAGAAGTAAATCTGGAGCGAATCCGGACGCGCATTGTGCCCGACCCATTTTATGGGCTTTCGCCAAAAATAGTCCGATACCACAGCCCAAAAGGCCCACAACCCACTTCCCTCGCCTTCAATCTCCTGCAATTGGTGGGCAGACTGAGGATCGAGAGATGCGCTAAATAATCGCATTTATCCGAGTGTAATTCCATAGAGATAATATTTTTATGAAATACATCAGGTTCTAATACTTTGAGCCCCACCCTCACAAGGAAAGCCCAGATTAAGAGATTCTTGACTTTCCAAAAGGAGACCAAGTGGGCAACCTTGTCTGGCTCATCACAGGGCAATGCATGTTTATCGTGCACGTAATTTTTAGTGTATTTTCTGCGTTTGGCTGGAGAATTAAATAGACCCAAGTCCTTGGAGGTGGTCATCATAGTTTTGCGTGTTTTATCAGATAAAACATAGCAGATGCTACCTCATCAAAGGTATTAAGAAAGTCCTTGTCCACTTGCATCTTGTACCTAAAGTCACGTGGTTGATTTCTGACTAGAGTTTTGAAAATCCAAAGGCTACTTCACATGGACAGGTCAAATCCCTTGGTTGTACCAAGTTGAAGCCCATCCTCATTAAACGCATCTTGAGGAACCATGGTTAGGGAGTGGTAGAGTTAACGCCCTAGTGCTATCCGGTCTGCCTCATTATTTTTGGAAGGGGTGTGGACGCATGGGCAGGAAGAGAGATCTCGTGCTCAAGTCAAACCCCATCCTTTTTTTTTTGTTTAGAAAAATTACCCCAAGTAAAATTGCGCAAAATAAGACAATACCATCAATTGGGAGTTGACTCAAGTTCAGATAATGTCAACGCCCCACTTATATTCTCTGCTCAAGAATCGAATTTCACATGAAATTTTTTGGCTGAAATTATTCAGGTAGGAACGAGTGTAAGACGAGAAACGTCGGCAAAACAGATCTCCACTGGTCGCCAATCAATTTCGAGTTCAATATCCGGATAATATCAAAAGCCCAGTTATTGCGGTTGAGGGTCTTTAATCGCTTGATTGATTATTCTCCAGAAATGTTCCAGAGACGGACAATGTTACAGTAACGATCGTTGAGCAACTGTGCTCACAGAAGTCTCCACTCGCGATTACAATCTCATTGACGCGAAACTCTTTCATCTCGAACTTTCCCAGATCTCCACGCTGAAATAAAATCTTATTGAATGACTCCAGGGTCGCCATCTGAGCAGGTTGCCCTCTCCATCGCCTTCAAAGACCGACCAGCTGCTTGATGGTTACGGGTGAAGCGTACCGACGCCCACGATACGCCGTGAGGGCGATCAGCCGGTAAGTAGCCTGGGTGGGGTGGAACTGGTCCCAGAAGAAATATTCGTCCCTGTTGGAGCAGTAGGTCGAGTTGGGCCTGCATTCTGACTCGGCGTTCAATCTCCCGGAGCCGCAGCAAGCGGAGATGATGTCCGTAAACCCTTTGAAGGGGCCGAGAAGACGACGTCAGAGCAATCCGTAGAGGAGAGTCGGGCGAAAGAGGAAGATCAGGGGGGATGCGCATACCATATTTTAGCGGTTGGGACGAGACAAGGGAGATGAAATCGTAGGTGTTGATGAAGGAGTAAGAGAAGCCTTTCAAGGTGGAGGCGAGGTCACGCAGGACGATCTGTGTGGCCTTGTTGAACTGCTGTGAGAGATTGTTTAAGTCTTCTACACATTTTGCGCCGGGCACGCTCAAGCGTAGAATAGGGATGCAGCCGATGAGGGAGGAACCGAACACCACGAATTTCCTCGCTCCGAGATCGTACAGCGTCTGTCATGGTCGGGTTCCATTAAATACAGCGACTATCCTATACATCATTCGCGGTAGATAGGTGGACAGATGAGGGGAGAGAGAGGGAGAGAGAGGGAGAGAGAGAGAGAAGAGTACCTCCAACTGGTTTCTAAACTGGCCGGTCAACTGCCCGATGAACAGCTGCTGTTGGGTCTCATTCTTAAGTCCGAAGTTCACGTAGAAACCGATCATATCATTGTTTCCTGTGCTGAAAACGAATAAGGACCTGGAAAGGAAGCGGTAAGCGGCGCCGCCACTAATTCGGGTCCTCAGCCGACGAGTGATTCCTTTGAAGTACTTAATCTGGTGGTTCAGGGAAATGGAGAAGTTCTGGCCCTGATCGATCCACCCGGTTGAAGGAACAGATAGTCAGTTGAAGTTTCCAAGACAAATGAAACTGCGGTTGAATACTTCAGACTGTACGACAAATTGCAAGGTGATTTCCATCTGACGGTTCGAAACTTACGGTGGCGTCGAAGATACCGGACCCCCCGGAGGCAAAGTTCACGCCGCGGTTCGCCTGCGCGTCGTTGGAGATGGAGAGGTACGCCGGGGGGCTCTTGTTAAACTTCAGCTTCTTTGCTGCACAAACGAAGCGAACCCCAATTCTAAGTTCCCCTGCTGCTCCACAGGTTTCCACGGAGGCACGTCGAAGATAACGAAGAGGGAGGGAGGCCTACCCATAAAGTCCAACCCGATGTAGCCATTGCTGAACCTCCCCGTGGGCCTGCTGCGCGGAAAGTCAATCCCGTTGTGTGGGAAGTTTGCCTTCGCCTGGTTCCCCGGCAAGAAGTTATTGTTCCCCACGTCCGCCGTGGAGTCGCCGAATGCGTAGATCGCCGGGACGACGGTGGACGCCGCCGCCATCCGCGTGAACACGGCAGTGGAGAAGGCTGCGGCGAGGAGGAGCAAACCCATCTTTCTCTCCATTTTCAGCCTTCTACTGGTTAGATGGCCGAGCCTCCCGTGTCCTTAAATCCTATGGACAAGTCGCTTTTGGCCGATATCCCGCTCGTCTTGTCCGTGTGGTAGTCTAACACGTTTAACAACAGTTGATATCTATGTAATGATCAATGAATTTAAATTTTATTCTATATCTACATGTATTGAATATTAGAACACCGGAAAGAGTTACAGGATTATCCTATATACATTTATTTATTTATTTATTTAGTGGCATATTGTCTGGAATGAAAGCTGGTAATTGATTTTTCAGGGTAAGATGGGGCAGAGAAAATGCCTCGAGCCAATGTCCGAGTACCAGGCGCTACGGCGCTGAAGTAACCCATGCCATACTCCCAGGAGAAGCTCGGGTTACCATTATCCTTTTATAGTGACGAATCTTGTATGTGTTCCTAAGAAAAGTAATTTGTCCATTTCATTTTTGAGGTTTCAAAAAAAGGGCGTGGACCGTTCATCATTCAATATTATGACCATTGCTTTCCAGGTTGATAAGCCACGTTGACTCACATGAGGAGAAGTGGAATTAGTTCTGTATCTTACGGCCTGAAGAATCCGTCCTCTGGTCGGCATGAACCGTAGTGTGAACCAAGACGGAGCTTCCGGCTTGCGAACCATCTAACGCAGGTCAACGACGCCGACGGTGGAATCCGCCGGAACACGATGTTTACATCGAGCTTTCCATCCAACGCGACTTTGTTCTAAAACACAATTTGCTTACGACGAAAACGAAATTATCCGAGGAAGGTAGATCTATGCGCGGCTTTATGCGAGAAATGTCGAAGGACCCATACTAGTATTGTCTATGATGGGAACATACCGAAAAGTCCACGCTCGAACACAGCAACAAAGACACCGTTCACTCCCGTTCCACCCACGTGCAGGAAGCTCCGCAATGAGCTGGATGTTTTGTCCATAAAGGATTACGCACAACGGAAAACATACCTATCAGACGTTCGACACGAACCCGAGTCCAAACGAAATCGTTGTCGACAGTAAACCTGAAATTGAAATGTCCTGGCCAAAACATATCCACGGACGCATCAAGCTAGAGACGTAACCGGAGAGAACTGTGGAGATGGCCTCTTTCGGCTACAGTTGGCGAACCATAGAGAGTTTCCGTGCGAGAAGACTATCATGTTGGTAAACGTGGAATAAAGGCCGAGGGACCCATAGCGGAAGCCAAGGCACGCTCAATATCAAAGCCATTTCGTGAGAGAAGGTAGGATGCTTCAACAGAATATGCGTAGGCCTTACGTCTTCGGGCATGGTGGCAGGGAGAAACAGCCCGCGTGACCTAGATTCATTCATGTAAATCGGTTCTGGGTCGTCATGGGTTGTGCAAGGTGGGCTTGTAGTATAAGGGATATTTAAAAAAAATGAAAATTCAAAGGCGTCAGAACAGAGAGGGAAAACTAAAAAAAATATAAAAGAAGCTTGCAAGAAATAAGGCTATCTCCTTTAGAAAATATCACAGTTTCAAGAGTTAAAAGCTCGGATCGCTAGATTAAATGCGAATAACATAAATCGCGCTTAGGTCTCCGAGAATCGTTTATAGGGCACCTTCGTATATATTTAACAATCTGTTAAGTAGGAGAAGTTGGGTGCTTCACGATACCTTATGTCAACCATCTTCCTTCAAACGTCATAAATGAGGTCAATTATGATATTGGATTCGTCTTTTAAAATCATTGTTTTTAGGGACACGTGATCGGTCAACGATGGGCTTGTTACTTAGAAGACATTGCAATAATGTAGAAGTATGACGGTTTTTCACGTTGTGCGCTTTCGAGCCACTTGTCTTCCATTTGACAACCTAGTCTAGGATGGGAGTGGAGAAATCCTAGCACGAGAGAGAGAGAGAGAGAGAGAGAGAGAGAGTCTTCGGCAGAGGTTTAAAATGGGAGGCCAGCAGCACCACGAACTGATCCACGAGGTTCTATTCCCAACGTCGGCGTTTGAATTGAAGAAACTTTTATTGAGATCGCAACTTTTTGAGTCTCTAAATACCTCGTTATCAGGAGAATAAACTTTAACTTATTTTCTCTTCTAAATTTCATTAGCCCATTAGTATACAAAAACAGCACGCTTGACAGAACCTATGAAAATAACTATTTAGCGTGCCTTCACCTTATTTGTTCAGCTTGGTGCATATCTATCATTTCTCGACCCAGTTCACCACCATTGACTGCATGCATCACGATAATCGGTGGAAGGATCATCAAACTGAAATCCAATGAACATGCGACTTGCGGGGGGAGGTGAAGGTGTTATATATCTCATTATCCTTGTGCTAATGCTCAAAAGAAAATAAGAATTTTGTGAAAAATGATCCTAATATTTGGAATAATGCAGTGAATTTTGGGGAGACCGATCTCAGTGCCTCGTCGCTTTTCAACGGTGGGCCAACTGGGAAAGTTGTCCAGCTGTTGGAAAAGCTTTGGATTCTATCGTTACACGCACCTCCAGGGATTGTGAACATAGAGATTAACGACTAAATCCACGCTTAAAATAAGTTTCTGCCGTTGTAGCTCGTGAAGGGACTGTAAAGTATTCTATTTGACTTATATATAGCCTTAGCTTTTATAACGTGATGGAAAGTTGTGAAATAAAATAAGTATTTTCTCATGCACGGCCTTGTATGGGGCGTCGGGTTCCATGGAGATTTTGGTAAGCGAAGAAGACGGAGCCTACGACCGCGTCATTAGCGCACCAGCCAAGCCCATTAATTGGGGATTCCATCTTGGGAGGTTATAAATAACCTTGTGTAGCCCCAAGAACAATTAGAGAGAATAGATCAGTCGAGGTTTACCTCTTTCACGCCGCAAGGAGGGCCCGTGAGGGGTCACTCATCCATCGCCACCGCCTTCCACTCCCACCCGTTGCCACCCCATCGCCCCTGTTGCCACCAGCCCTGCCTCTGCCTCCGTTCGTTCAACCTTTTCCGCCGTTGCCGTCGCCTTCCTTTCCTCCGCTCGGCCCGACCCGACCCGACCCGTTCGTGTCCCCACTTTCCCCTTTTCTCTCTCACTTATTAGGACTTGAAGCCCCGGTTCTCATTATCCCGAGTCGTTGGTCTGAACCGGCCCTACCGCCTGGTCCGAACCATCTCGGACACTGGTCCACACCAGCTCATCCTGCTGGTCCGCGCCAGTCGCACCCTCGGGTTCGAGCCCGTCCGCCAATTAACCAGGGCACCCGGTCAACCGTCAACGACCCGGTCAACGGTCAACGTAAGTCAAACTTTTAAAAAGTGGGTTTATGCTCCAGTTCGTGCTCCTCCACAACTCTGTCACCCCCTTTTGGCCACAAGGTTATCTCTAATTACTATTTTTTTCAAAAATTGAGCATTTATTTATTTAGTATTTTATCTTGCAACATTGAAGTTTTGTGATCTGTAAATAGGTCCCCTTCTATTCATTTAGTATTATATCTTGCAACAATGAAGTTGTATCCGGATCTACACTCTAAAACTGCCGAAGTAACTCATACCTCAGCTCACGTGGGATGATAGATCCGTTTCATTGGGCAACTAGGTTGAGCCAGAAAAGAATTTACAGAAAACCAACTCTATAGACATGGTGGGGATGCACGTCCATTCCCCTTCAAGTCGACCTGCAGAAGGCTTGGAAGTAGTCTGGGGGTTTTGGATCCATTCGTACAGGATGATCATCCTGGTCAACCATATCGTGGTGGTTATGAATTTCGACGAAACGTGCCCCCGATGCTAACACAATTCCAGCGGTATCGATGGGACGCATGCCGTCGAAATATCAGGATTCGAACCTAAGCCTCAGAAAACAACGTAAATGTTCAGGTCAAACCTTATCTTTGGACACGTCAACATGAAGATGTGAAGGGGGAGAACCTTACAGGTGACCCCCTTTCGGTGAGAGATGGCGACTCGGAGAGAATTTCCATGTTTGAATCATCATAGTAGCAGAAGCCTGATATAAATTCCGAGGAAACCCATCTCAGAAAACTCAGGTATTCACAATCGAGACGACCAGCCAAGATAAAGATGCTTTCTCGAGAACTTTCATGTCAGCTCATAAGACGTCATCTTGGAGCAACCCACGTGATCTGGATTTATTCATATAAGTTAATTTGGAGGGACGTGCGTTGTTCAACGTGGTGTCCTGTATAATAGGTTTTTCTCAAAAACAGATTAAATTGCAATGTCAGATAGATGTAGGGTGCGCATAAAAAGCTCAAATAATTCTGAAGAGAGGAGCTTGTTCGCGAGTGAGAGAAAAAAGCAAGACAAGATTGATCAAAATGAGAGAACGGACTTGGGAACGGGGAAAAAGGGACGTGTATCTGACTGGATGCAGCTTCTAGCGAGCAACATCTTTCTGTTGCATGAAAATTTCACCGACCTATTCGTTCCTGTTCCCCGACGGTGTGAAATGGTCAAACATATCACACAAGAATCAGGCTGGGTACGTGTTGAACGGGGGAGCTTATGCGTGCAAACGCACGAGCTTGGCTGCAGCGGTGTTGCTGCCGGTGTGCTTTGTAACCCCAATAGGAAAAGCCCAAAGTGGACCAAAGGTCAACTGGTGAGGCCTAATGGAACAACTCAACAGAGTCCGAGGCAATGACTTAAATGAAAGTAGTCAAATAAAACTTTTATCAACGGTCCATTCCTCCATGGTACGTAGCATTCGCGGTCGACCTGTGAGAAGCATCCGTGAGGGGTTCTGTCTCGGATAAGGCCCAGAGTATTCCCGGTCAGTATACAATCTGCCGGTAAACAAAACAAAAGGAACGAAGATGTGGGCAGCCCGGCACGGTAAGTCGTCGACGTTATTGTGGTTGATTAGCCTCTCAGCCGGCTCGCCGGCAGTGTATTCGACCCTGCTGTGAGGGAAGATGACCCTACACATGGGTGCCGGCACGTGGACCCATGTGTAGGCGTGCCACTGGAGAGCAACCGCACAGACGGCGTGGACTAGTATGACGCGGAGTAGCGCCGGCATGGGAAGGCGCCGTGCAGAGGCGCGCAGCACCATTCGAAGTGAAGCGCATGTCGGATAAGTTCTCTAGTACGACGCGGAGTGGTGTCGGCACGTAGGAGGCACTCGGACGAATTAGTTGTTGGATCTGACGTATTTAGTGTTGAGATATATGGAAAATGATAAAACATAATGATAATGAATTCTGATGACTTATTCTAGAGAGATGAGATACTCTAAGAGTGACTCACGATGTGTGACCCAAAGATTGTGACTTCTTATTTATAGACAATAGGTGGTTAACCTCTTAATATCATTTTCCAATTTAGCCTATTATAAAATTAAAATAAGACAGTCTCTACACATATTTATATTTATATTGATATTTATACTTACAAAGGAGGCCATAATCCTAA